TACTCACCAATCACAAGGTCATCAATCAAATACCGGCGCTGGTTGAAGAGTGATTTGACGAACGATGCCCTGTCCTTCAACCATTCACGGGTATTCATTGCTTGCATGAGCACCTCACCAGAAATCCACCCAGAAACCATCATCTCACCGTCTTCGTCATTATTGAGGAAGTGTTGGGTATCATTAAAGATTGTCTGACCGCTCTCCTTCAGGTACTTTCCCATTACGGTCTGGAAGCGCTTGATCGCAGCGTACTGTGTGTCCTTCGCGAGTGGGTTTGTTCCCGTCGTGATCACTTGACCACGTACAAACGGAACACCTGCATTTACTGCCTCGCGCCACACTCTCAGCAGCGTCTGCTGCACAGCAAAGGGACCCAGTAGGTAGGCACCAGCAGTACGCTTGTCCGTCAGCATCCGCATTATGAACTTCTCAGTGTCTTTAATAGGTGCACCGAACACAATCACAGCCTGTGGGCGAGTCTGCGCAAATGTTTCCCATTCTTTATTAAAATTTTCATTATCAATATTGCTAGTGGACTTTTTTACAGCGAAAACCCCGCACAGACTATAACCCAATTGTGAGATTACTTTTGTTGCTCGTCTGTACTCTACATAACCTGAGATAAAGTTCTTTAGGTACATGAAACCCAGTCGTCGTACACGGAGATAGTTCAAGGCGTATCGGATAAGTGTAAGCAGCTCAGCATTAGGTTCTGGACGCAAAAAGTACAAGTAAGGATCCCATACTCGCACTTGAGCAGATACGGTAAATGGTGCAAATGCAACTAAGCTATTTTTATCGAGGATAGGTAGAGCGTTAAGCGTGTTATGGTCTCCCAGTGGACCCAGGACGGCAAGCAAATCGTTGTGCTTCGTAAGGGTACTGTTAATGATCTGTGTAATGTTTTTATTTGCTGTTGAGGGTAAAATAATTTTAATTTTCCTACCGTCGGCCACTTGATAGTTGTAAGACCAGAGTGAAGCGTTAATCCCTGCATTCAGAGCAAGCATCAGCTTCTCAGGTATTTGAGAAGGTATCTCCAGAAGTGAGAGTAGTTTCACTGCTTCTGTTTCATCACTCATTTTCTCAGCATGAGCTGTGGATGCAGCGTGTAGGAAAATCCAAAGCTCAGACAGTAGAATCAAGAGCAGCAGTGGTAACGCATAGGGCGTGCAGTGTAAATTACCTTGTGGACGCATCTGAGGTGACATATACAAGAAACAGTATACAACTCCCTATATAGAAATAAAACTCTCTCTCTCTTTCTTTCTTTCTTTCTTTCTCCCCCTTTCCCTTTCTTTGGGTATATATATATATATATGCGTGTGTGTATGTGTGTATGTGTGTGTTTGTGCCTTGCCTTAATGTAAGAATAGTTTATACGTATTTTTCTCCTTACTTTGAGTATGTTTCAGTGGAGAACCTTCTCTCCTACAAGCAAGCAATAAAAAAAAAAAACAGGGTGCCCCTGGTGGCTTTAACGCAACTCCCGCAAAATATAAATCAATTAAATAGAGAAAGAAAAAAATGAGAAATAAGGATATCTGAAATAGTATAAAAAAGGTATTGAAATAAGAATTCTTCTGTTTTCTCATCAAATGATATCACACATGCCATTCTTTATCTCAAAATTCTTTTAAAAATATGAGAAGAGATATTTCCATCTTTTCGAAGAAGCCATGTCAACGAAGAACAATTTAAATAAAAAAAAACCAAATATATTTCCCATAGAGAATTGAATAAAGTAACATGTAAAAGGGCAAAGGCATAACATTGCTTATGTATATATTTACTTGCACATCCAATTTTTTTTTCTTTATTTGTATCTCTCTCATTTAGATTTATTATTCCTCTTTTTATATTTTTTTTCTCCCGATAAATGCATTTTTTCTCCCAACATTTTGCTTTGGTTTTTCTTTGACTCCTTTTTCTTTTTTTAGGTTTCACATTTTTTTTTTCTTTTATTTTTATTGAGTGTACCTGAGAGCAATTGGCTCAATGCACACAGATACAGATACACATATATACACACAGAGAGGATATATATATATATACTCCTGCTTATGTGTGTATTCTTGTTGTTGATTTCTCCTTTCTCTGTACTTGTTACTTGTATTCCTTTTCTTTTCTGCTGTTTATTGCGTGTATAAACAACAAGAGAAAACAAAAAGGGTTACAAGGAGAAAGGAATACACATAGAATGTTGTTGGGGTAAGAAAGAGAAGGTAAAGATGATTGATAAAAAAGGAAAAAAAGAAAAACACGCTAAGCGGATGATCGCAAAAGAAAAAAAAAATTAATTTCCCTTTAATATATATATATATATATATATATATACCATTTGAGAGGTTCTTGCTAAGTATAGCATTTGGAACTTCGCTAGCATCATTAGTTTTAATAAACATCACTTATTATTTGCCTATTATAGGTGTGGTAGTAGAATTACTGTCTTCTCTTTTCTTTACTTAGACCACGGCTATATATATTTTTT